TGGCTCTTTTAATAAGTCACACAAGTATTTTCATGTATTTATGAAAACGTGCTCAAATAGCACTTTCATCCTGGAGAGGGTTAAACTGGGCTGCTCCCTGGAGGCAAGGATTCTGAGGCTTCGTCTAACATACTTTGGTCATGTTGTAAGTAGAGACCGGTCCTTGGAAAGGACATCACGCTTGGGAGGGTGGGGGGACAACGCAGGGGGGAAGGTCCTCTGGAGGTGGACTGATTCGGTGACTGGGGCAATCGGGATGAGTGTGTTGGAGACAATGAGATTGGCACAGGACAGAGCAGAGTTTAGAGCTGTTGTATATAGGTTGCTATGAGTTGCAAGCGACTCGACGGCACATAGCAACAACAACAATTAAAAGAACCAATAATAAAGCCAAACAAGCTGCCTTCTTATCCTGGCTATTCTGCTCACTTCTCCAGTGCCCTGAGGAAGCGACAATAAAGCCTCCTTTTCATCAACAGTGAAAGTAATTACAAATTTCCGTTCTCTCAGTCTTCTATTAAGAGCATATGTCTAATATATTTAAAGGCATTCTGAAAATTATAGACGTTATAGTAATCTGTTTATAAACAGATAAACCCCAACTGCATGCACATATATACACAGACATACATTATGTGTACTTTTTGCACATCCATTCACTCAAATAGCCTCAACTGATTTAATTTATCCCCAAGTCTATATCATTACATACAAGTATCAATTAAAATAGAAATCAGTCCAAGACATAGGCAGCAGATATGGAGGAAAGGGCACCAAAAAAAATAGCTTTAATCGACTGAGGTTGAATCCTAGCTCTATCCATTACAAGCTGTATGTCCTGGGAAAATTATTTGGCTTGTCTGCCTTCAGAGTCTCAAGGACAATTAAATCACATAATACATTTAGAAACAGAGTGAAACATAGTTATGCTTAATGGGTTAATGAATCTAAATATGGAAATATGTCTATATTATTATTAAAAATATATATAATAATATATATCATAATAAAGAAATAAATATATAACTGTTTAAATTTATTTCTCCAAATCTCTATTTTTTTATTCCAAATTATATATTTAAATCTGGTAATCTGGTAACTAACTGGTCAAAGTCTTTGTATGTAAAAATTAACTTTAAATAGATAAACCAGTAAATCAGGTGTGTGGAAGACATTACTCTCATATTGGTGTGCACTATTCCTATGTTAAATATGACAGGAAATTATTCAGTAAGACCATAACAAAGTTGGTATAATGTTGCTCTAATGATTCAATAATTAATTCTCCTCCATATGTTCAAGATAGCTAATCTGTATTTCCAATTCTACTCTATAGTAAACATACACTCAGTGTAACCATAAGTTAAAATGAAGTTAAATTCTTATCTAATGTGATTTCCTGCCTCCTTTTAAATCTAGTAATAATCACACAGTTTAATGTCAGTGTCTACAAAGTATTAGAGTGGACTGTTTTTTTTTAGCACTGCGTTTCCCAATGCCCTAAGCCAATTAACATGTACCAAATCTTTACCTAATTTCAAAAATGTATAATTTCTATTACTTATTGATGTACAACTAACTGTACATATATATCTTATATCCACAAATTGCAGTGTGTGAATTAAAACTCTCTTGAAAAATTATGACAGCTCCATAAAACTAGTTTGAATATCACCTCAAAATCAACGCCATGAAATAGTCACTGGTGGTACAAATGTTTATCCTTTTCTGTCTTTTTGTTTTCTAGCAATATCAATACAAATTACATTACCCACAGATAGTACTGCATTTTTAAAAATCATTACACAGCAAACTTCACATATATTTTATGAAATAAGTTAAACACTACTATTACTATAAAGCAATTCACCACAACATAGCAAACCAAACCAAACTTATTGTAAGACTAATATGGTTATTCTAAATTACAGCTCTTTTGCAAAATTTCATTTTGCAAAATTGGCACTCATGCTGTTTACTCAGACATAAATCACCATATTTCCTCTCCAGTAAAGTGGATACTAACTTTGTCACTTGTGCTCTCTGCAAAGAGAAAAGCATGTAAAAAAATTACTAAGGGATTTTTTTTGCTGTTGTTACCTTCCAAGGCCAGGTTCTTCAAAATACCACATGTGAACTGCTAGAAGAAATTCCAGTCCATTAGAATTGAAATGAACACAGAATAGATAAAAAGACTTACCTCTTAGAAGCAGTGGCATTTTATAATGCAAGGACATATGGATAAGGAAAAGGCAAATCACTTAAAGTAACTGATGAAAAATTGATTATTTGCTTCCAGTTTAGACTATAAAAAGTTTCATTGTTTTCTCTAAGGATAGTATAAAGGAAGAAACCAGCTAAGACAATAATGTGCATATACACAGGTGGAAGATTCAGAAATTTGGCAAATGCCTTAATATGTGTCAGAGGGATTGTTTAAATTGTATTCAGAGCTATCCAATAAATATCAACATCAGTGTAATTTTCATTCTACTCTATTAAAATAAATAGTTATTATTTCTTAATAACCATGCATTTGTTGCTTTTGCTTATTAATCCTATACAAATTTGGGTAAGATATTTTTCAAATTGGCAAATTAATTAGCAACTTTAAATTACTTGAAAATCAAAAGTCTAATGTTTTGAAGGAGAAAAAAAATCAGCTAATATCATAACTTTCAACATTAAAGAATTTTGTTTAAAAGCTTTTGTAACATAACAAAACTCAGAGATAGATTAATCTTTAATTAGTAAAACATGACACCTACATGACTCTTATTTCACAAAAAAAAAAAAACCCCACGCATTAGCCAAGACCCCAAACATTCTTGAAAATTACTATTAACTGATTATTAAAGTGTGTGACATTTTTTAACTTCTCTAATCAACCTATAGGGACAGGAAGGGTCCTGTAAATTTGTCTTTGCATTTCAGATACTATAATTTGTATCTTGAGTGGCCAAGTTCTTATTGTCCTAGCATTTGGACAACTGAAATCTACTTTTAAGCATACTTACTTTGCAAAGATAAAGTGGTTTCTTGCTTCCTAAAAAAAAAAACAACAAAAAACCCAAACAACTTTTTCCCTCTTGAATCTTATACAGTGCTGTAATAGAAGTATGTGTTCAATATTCACTTGTTGATTAAAAGGTCAAGTATAAAGGGTCGACAACTGCACCACTGCCTACAGTTTCAGTGAAAATAACATATTTTATTTCATTTCACATTTTAGTATCTAAGTTGTATTTATAAAACAAAAAATAAGCTTAATGTTTTCAGCTGTTTTGAATGAATAACTTTTCTACAATCTGATCTGTCTTTCCTACACAATTTCCCATTAAGAGAGAAGGCTTCCTTACAAAATGGCAACAAAGTTAGTAAGCAAAATAATTATCTAAGGCACTTTCAGCAAAGAACTTATTCTACTGAACTTAGTATAGTACAGTTCCTTTAATTTTCTAGAAGGCTAGTTACTATCTTAAAAACAGCAGTCTTTATTTCTAGGATATCTACTTTGGTTGCTCTAAACATTATCTTAAAACAGAAGCAAAACAAAACCAAACAAAAACTACCCCAAATCAAAAACAAAAATAAAGCCACACCTCAAAACACCATACTGTTTCTCATCCTCAAATAAAAGAAGAAATAGCATTCTTTGATGAGTCCTAGTTTTCCTCAATATATACATCATAACTTTGAAAAGCCTCCCACAGCCACAAAACCAGAAGTAAGGTCCAGTAGCTGTTCTTCCCAGACCTCCTGCTGTCTTTCTCCAGCAGTAGCCTGGAACTCTGCCACCTTCTCTTTCAAAGTCCAAAGGTTGCCATGACAGCAAGGCTACAGAAAGCACAGCCCCTTCATTACATGAATTAACATTTGGAAAGGATTATCTCACAGAAAAAAAAAAAAACCTATCCATGCAATTATTTTCTTTTCCTGGGAACTGGCATTGATAAAAAGTGTCACGTATGCAGATTATTTCCCTTTGGTTTGTTTTGTTTCCCCCTTCCACATTTATAGTATATTTTAGCCATGATAGATCTGATCAAAATGATTTTCTCAAAGTAGCTTGGGCCTTAAATAAGGTCTGTATACTTCTAAAGAGAAAAGGATGACATCTAAGCCAATGAAAACAAACATGTAACTATATAACTATGTGCCATTCAAATATGTTAATATCCTACATCAACTGTTAAGATTTTTTAAATATTCTATTAAGAAAATAAAATTGATAAACAGATTTTTAAAACTTCTGCAAGCACTGTGCACATTGGTTTCATTGCCCTGATTTTAAAAAATATTTACAATGAATATATTTTCTTATTTTGCTACTGGTGTTATTTTTACTGTGATTTTTTTTCTTTCTTTCTTTGAGGTTCTTAAGTTTTTTAAGACACATGTATAAACGGTTTGTTTTCAAGAATACATTTTTGGTTAAGCTTATCTGGAAAGAATTTAGCTAGCTATCTGTTTTAAGCCCATGCATCATACATGAATCAAGTTTAGGTTTGCTTTCTGTTTTCTTAAAGAAGACTTTGGGGAGGGTGGGTGGGGCTGCTTTATTAATTCCTCATTTCCTTTCTCCTCATGGTAAGCAATATAAGGTGAAGACAAGTGTAACCACTGTTTCAACCTCTGGTGACTAACAAAAGGATGGAAACACTGAGACAGAGAATGATTTAACATTTGCCTTGCATTATAAGTGCCAGCTGCTCAAGGTTGTGCCACTGACTTAGAGAAGAGTTACAGAAGGTGTTACATGGTCCACAACATGTCAAAATGCATAACTAAGTTTGATTAACCAATAATTGTCTTGCTGCAAGTGCTGTGCTTACATATTTTTTTTTAAAAAAGGCCACATGTTAATGAAGCAAATAAAACAGCAGCTCCCTTTCTTCAAATATCAGCTGGTGTTTCAAGGATGTCACCTTTCATGTTTGATGGAAATTACCTGAAAGAAGAGACTTTGATAAAGGTAGAAAGCACCCATGACCACCTACCCATTTTGCTGTTTACTGTCACCCTGGGATCCTCTTCTCTGTCCCTCTGCTAGCTCCTGAGCAGGCTCGGAACACACGCTGGTGACTGTGGGCTGCCGTGGGACATTAACTGCAGTTTTAACAGCGCTCAGTGCAGGTGAACGCTGGTCAGCACTAACACTGGCATTAACATGCAGTCCAGATGCAGAAAATGGGGGAGGAGTGACAGCAGCCACGGGTGGAGGGGAAGCATGTGATGAAGTGGTCACATGGGCAGAGGTGAAGGCAGACGATGGTGATGGGATGGATGTGACTTTTGGAGAAGACACAGAACCAAAGGGCCGTGGTGCCTTATTGTAGGCCAGGTTGTTTGTGGAAGTGACTTTGGACACAGCAGGAGAAGTAATGGGCACAGGTTTAACTACTTCTTTAGGTTCCCCCTATGTGAAATAAAAAATAAACATACGCAAAAACACACCAAGTACATGCAAAATATCACATAGCTGACTTTTTAAAAGACAGACGTATTAGTGGCCCCAAATTCACGTTTTCAGATAAAAACACAGAGTTTATATAGCATAACATGCACACTATCTGGCTTCAACATGCATAACACAGATGCACATATGAAGTACGTTTGAAAATACTTAGAAAACTAGAGAAAGAAAACTATTAAAAAAACAGGGCCATCACAGGTATTCAATTTTGGTTTTTAGGTAATCCAAAGGAAAGAATTTTAAGTATTGTAAAATATAGCTAACCAATTTTTAAAATACATAGAGCCTGAATTCTAATTGCATCTCTTAAACATGTCTGCTTAATCTCTATAATTATTTGATTTATGTAGAAGCAGCAGAATCTTGCTAACTCTTCAATTTAAAAATCTGAAGGAGATAATTTTCATCTAATTCAGAAATATGTACATCTAATGTGTACATATTAATTAATGAATTTTTTTAAAGTTTTTTTCTTTTTCTTTTATTTCCTTGTTATGTACTGTCAAATCAGATCTGAGTGGCACTGGAGGAGATTGGCCCTTCGTCTCCAGCAGAGTATATGGTGGATTCGAACCGTGTGAATTAATTAATTCTTAATTAAAGAAATTATTAAAAAATCCATTAACTAAAAGAAAAACAGAGAAACAAAGCAAAATTAATCCTCTCCTTCTTTTCCAATTCACCTCTGTTTTTCTCTCTTTGGAAAGTTCTGAGATACGATTCAGAGATGGAATAAATTGTTCCCTTTTCAATTCCAAAATAAATATGTAATATTTAGTAGTTCCATTTCCAAAATAAATATGTAATATCTAGCAGTTACATGACAAAAACCCCAAAACCTTCGATGTTTCCTCACTGCCATCAGCTAAAGAAAAATAACTAGTTATTTCAAACCCTTCTAAATGTAGCAATTTGTTTGCAAATCCCTATTCCAAAGCAAGTCAAGTATTTTTTAAAAAATCAAGTTAACCATTTCTGACATTCAGAAATTAATGTTTATTCACCTTACGACCCTAAAGGGGAAAAAGCATACAATGATGTAACACTGCTATGTACTTCCAAGGGAAAACAGTAATCTAAATTAGTTTTGTAGGAAAAGAAAGTTAATGGAGAAAAATAGTAGCTCAGTGTTTAAGCAAAGCAGCAAAAAAGGTTGTAAGGAAAACCCCAAAAGGAAAAAAGTAGATAAATATAAAAAAATAACTTGTAAAAACCTAGGAACTAATATTTATAAAATAATAACTGCAAATAGGTGAATCCAACAACATTATGAAACTATTATTACCAGTGAGATGCCAGTAAGACCCACTGGAATATACTTTTTTGAAATGCATAAGTAAGAATAGATAAATGAATGTGAATGTGATTACAAGAAATTTGACCATATAATAATGCATGACTGGTTTTAATAATACAGGTATAATAATGTAAAAGAATTCTGTAAAAGAATCTCCAGCTTTGAGAAAACCTATACTGAGACTATAAACGAAACATCTATATAACCTGAGTCTTGAAACTACTCAGGAGGAACCATCAAATGGTACTCTAATTAACATATTAGAAACATACCTTTTGAACAGCAACTGGCTCAGGTTTAGGTGTAGCTGATGCTCTGGGAGAAAATAGAAAAAAGAAGATTAATATTTACAAACTTTCTTAAAATAGAAGTTTTACATTTTTATACTTTAACATATGAAACTGGAATGTACAGTTCACAATATGGGTACTCATTCAGAATGTATTTACTGGGCCCTGCAAGCCAAATGCTATAGGACTCAAACACTACTTTTATTCCTCATTAGCAATTGTGACTCTCTATAAACTCAACTGTGGAGAAAATAAACATCAATCTTGCCTGTTATGAAAGCTTTGTTGAAGCCTTAAACTAAGGCTATTTCCCACTATGAAGGTCAATGTATAAATAGAGCAATTTTCTTACTCTTGAATAGCTCCTCAACTAGTCAATGTAACTTTATCTTCATTTTAGATTACTATCTATGAACAAATCTTTGTGAAGATGTTGAATAAATTTTGATTGAACTGGGTCACTGAATAATTATTATTTAATATTTACATTTTAAAGTGCTTATGCAAATTAATGTAATGATGAAACAAACCACAAATTCTTCCACTAGACCATAACTTCAATAAAGACAATGATCATGTCTCTTTTTTTTTTGCAATGACACAGTGCAAGACATTTAATAAATTCTCTATAATGAATATAAAAAAAAAGACAAAATTCAAGTATACAACTTGAAGATCTGCATTTAAATTAGTTTTTATTATTTCTACTTAAAGTGTATGCTTTTTTGTAACAGGTTAATGCTGTTCTGTAGGTTGTGGTGGTTCTTGTCAGGTGCCAATGACTTGATGAAAACTCACAGTGACCTTATTATGAACAATGAAACTCAACCTTGCGCTATTCTGTAACACCCTCATCATTTCTAATGTACTCGAACCCACTTTAACAGTCACTGTGTCAATATATCTTGTGGAGAGTCTTCCTCTCTTTTGCTGACTTCTACCTTTCCAAGAATGTGTTCTTTACCAAGGATTGGCCCCTTCTAACAACATGCACCAAGTATGGAAGACAAAGTACCACTATTCTTGCTTCCAAGGAGCACCCCGGTTGCACATTCACTGAGACATATTTATTTGTTCTACAACTCTATTAACTAACAGACTGGTTAGATGAACTTGTAGTAATGATAATCAGTTGCTGCTGACTGCCATTGAGTCGAGTACGACTTGTAGTGACCCTATGACCAAAAGACCTGAAGCCTTTCTAGAACTATTGTTTTCTCAAAGTTTGCAAGAGAGTCCAAAGGCATGCTATTTAAGCAGTAGATGCCACTCCTCCTTAATCAACAATGTGAAAGCTATGATTATCCCCATTGTCCAAATTAAGAATTTCAAGATTAGAGTAAATAAATTGCCTAGTGTCCTGTTTTGTTGTCATGCCGGCAATTGCTAGGGCCTTGCTTTTTGCCTATTCCTTCAGAGCAGCTTGAACTTCCTCCTTCATCACCATTGCCTCTTTAACATATGTTGATTCATGAAATTCTTCTGTGTAAGCCAATTCTTTCTGGTCTAGCAATGCTGTGTGCTTTTTCCATCTTCTTCTGATGCTTCCTGGATCATTCCGTATTAACTGCCCTCAGACCCTTAAGTATTGCAACTTGAGGCTTCAATTTGTTCTTTAGTTCCTTCAGCTTAAGAAGTATCAATCAAGCTCACCCCTTTTGATTTTCCAACTCCAGCTCTTTGCAGATTTCATTATGATACTTACCTTTGTCTTCCTGAACTGCCCTCTGAAATTTTCTGTTTAGCTCCTTATTTTTTATTTTATTAAATTATTTATTGTTAATTTCAATGATAATTTACAGAGACTTTGGATTTCCATTCATTCATTGTTGCACTTTTCTCCCCACCTCCAGTATACTCCCCTCTTTGAAAAGTAAAATTCTTTCATTGTTTTACAATCCTTCCCCCCTCCCAGGTCCACTCCACTATGCAGCCTTTGCTCTGGACTTGATTTCTTCCCTTTGCTTTGGCTTCTCAGTGCTCTAGTACAATATTCAAAGTCTCTTCTGATATTTATCTTGGACTTTTCTTTTCCTTCCATCTTAGAAATGACCTTTTGCATTCTTCATGGATGATATTCTTGATCTCCTCTAACAGCTTATCTGGTCTTCGCTTATAAGTATTTAAAGCCTCAAACCTGTTCCTGAGATGGTATTTAAATTCAGGAGGGATACTCAAGGTCAAACTTTGACCTTTTGGTAAATTTCTTGTGGATTTTGGTGGTTTTTTTCTTTAACTTCAGTTTGAACTTCCATGAAAGTAGTTGATTATCTGTTCCACAGTCATCACCTGGCCTAGTTTTCATAAGTGATGGTGAGCTTCTCCAGTGTTTTCCCCCCATCGATATAATCAATCTGATTCCTGTATAGGTCATCAGGTGAGGTCCATGTGTACAGTCGCTGTTTGTGTTTCTTTAAAGCTGAATTTGCAATGAATGTCATTGTACAGAATTCTATCATTCCATCTCCACCCTCATTTCTGTCACCAAGTCCATGCATGTCTCCAAACTGTCAACCCTTCTTCCTTATTCCCAAGTTTTGCATTCCAGTCACCCATTATTACTAATTCACATTCGCTGCATGTTTGGTTGATTTCCAATTACAACAGTTGGTACAAGTAATCTACTTCCTCCTCTTTGGCTCTGGTCATTGGTACATAACTTTGAATGACAGTAGTATTAACAAGGTCTTCCTTATATGAGTATGGACATTATCCTGTCACTCACAACATTACATTTCAAGATGGATCTGGAAATAGTCTTTTAAACTATGAATATGACCCCATTTTTCCTCATGTCTTCATTGAGACAGTACGTAACATCAACATTTGGAGTTTATCTTTCAATATGATTTTTTTTCTAGCCATTATTTGACTTTGCTATCCAATGGGTGGGATTATGCATATGCAACATGTTAGGCTTGCCACACGGAAACTGGCTGTCTGTCTATCATTCCACAAAGAGATTAGTCAATCTTAACAATCTACCAAGTGACTGGCTAGTCTTACCAATAAATTGAACAGCTCTAGTCACAGACACATATCTTCTGGCGCCATTGAATAGAAAGGAAGACAATGTAGTAGGACAACCTTCCTGTTCCAACTACATTAACAACAGTAACACATATGGCATAACTGCAGACCTGATGTGAGCTCAGAGGAAGGGGAGGAGACCCAATATTGAATATTGAAAGGATGGAGAACTTGGGAACGACTGGCCTAAGGGTGCAAGGCTTGAGGCTGAGGTGCCTGTGTACACATTTCAGGACCTGTCTTGTTTGTATTCTGTTATTAATCTCAATCATAACCTTTTCACTTTCTCCATATAGTTCTGTATGGTTTGTGAGCTATTGTATCGGATTTTGGACCGAGAGAGCAGTTAAGATTGGTGTTGAGATTAGTAGAAAGAGGTACAAAGGGGTAGCATTCCTGACACCATGGGAATTGGTTTTGTGTTACTGATGCCGTGGATAGGGACAGTTCCCCTTAATGAAGCTGAGGATAAAGGTCAGACATATCTGTCCCCATGTGACCCATATTCTTCATCCAGCTAGCATAGAACTAAGGCCTATACTTTTGAAATGCTATAAATATATACCCTGTATTCTAGGAAAGTAATTAATTATTTGGTTGAGCCTCTAATTATTTCCAAGCTATTTCCCAAATACTAACATACCTGTTATGGTATCACCTATGAGTCAGCAGGGAAGCCACTAACCAATAGGCCACCAGGGAATAAACAGTACATGGTAACAATTTTAAGGCATAAGGCATGGAATTATTTTACTCATAAACACACTAGGTTGGGATATGGAGTCTCTATGAGTATACCCTAGCAATGAACTCCCAACAACAATTTTAACAGCATGTGAATTTCCCAGTATCATGTAATTTAGTTAGTTAGGGCAGGCACTGATTGAACAATTGGCTAACCTAATAGAGTCCACAATGGATACTCACATCCAGTTACTGCTAGACAAAATTACATTCAGTGTGGTTGCATAACTTTCCATGTTGACTCTTAAGTAGACAACTTCTGTTTTAGCTTATAGGGTTATTATAACAAGGAAAGGAAACATGTTCAAGTAAAGAACAATGGAATCTTCATTTCATTGAAATTTCACAATAGTATGTAATCACAACGGATCTACTTACTAAAACAAAAATGTTATTGAAAAAGAATAGTGTCTTTTTTATGTAGATAATTTAAGGTGTGTGGAGCACTCCCAGAAACATGAAAATAATCTGTAAAATAAAAGAGCATGCTATGTAATATGCTAGGTATTTAACCTTAGATTAAAATGCCTATGTCCTATATCTATAAAATCAAATTACTTAATTATTTCCAGGATGTTAAGTTCTTCAAGAGTGTTGGATGATAAGGAAGGGGAAAGTATCAAACAAATCTACACTGGCTAGTTTTCTTTAATTTTGGAATCTAGCTTATTACTCTGTGGAGAAACTCAAATTAAAACTCAAACTCACAGCCATATCGTTAGAAGGGACTCATAGCAGAATCTCTATTGGGTTCCGAGACTATAAATCACACTGGAGTGTTCCCATCTTTCTCCAGCAGAGTCTCTGGTAGATTTAAACTGCCAGAGAGGCACAATACCCTATAGACTAGACCATCAGAGCTCCTGGTGTTAAACCAGGCAACAAACCAGAGGACTTGTAAGTCTTTATGTACCTAAAGAAGAAAATTCTTTAAATTGCTATACATATTCACAAGAAGAAAATGTATTTAAGGATTAAACTAATATTTAAAGAAAGATGAAATCTCTGTAAATTGTGAAAATGTTTACTTAAGTCTCCTAAAAACTCACTCTACTCACTGCCATCAAATCGGAACTGACTCATAGATGACTCCAACTAAGAAAAATATTAACATTTCAAAATGCAAAATTCTTGAAATAACTTATCTTCTCAAATTAGTCTTTCTTGGACTTCATATTTAGTAAGATATGCATATAAAGAACAAAATTCATTAACTATTTAAGGTGGAAAATTCTACTATTTCTTTTATCA